CACACGAAGCTTATTTTGAAATCTAACTAATGACACTGGTTTCATTCCAATCTAATATTTCTATCAAAAATTGGACACTAAAGTGCACTTTGACCATTTTCTATCAAATTTTGCCACTTAAGTGTCTCACTTCGAAACCAATTGTCATTAGCCACTTTTTCGGCCTTGACTAAGTCCAAATAGACAAAATACACCTAATTGACCATAGCACAATATAACACACATACACATATTTAGCCTATAATCTGCCCATTTCACACTTTGGGCCAAAACCGCATTTTCACTTTTCTAGTCTCATATATGGTCAAATCACTCTATTTAATCTCCACCCACTTCATATACACACATAATTACACCCATCCACCAGCCTTTTTCAGTCATTTCATCCTTCACACACATACAAGGCTAGGGAGTTCAAAATCACAAAAGCATACCATTAGCATAACTAATACACATGTATAAATCCTATGGCAACTTATGGATACTTTTTGGCTTATAATTTACAAATCATTACACCATATCTTACAAAAATTTAGGCAAGAGATGTCAGCTCAGCCTATATCCTTTACCTTTGACCCGCTAGTACCAAAACCTAAAAAATGTAAATAACCATGGGTGAGATAAAAATCTCAGTAACCAGATATAGCTCATTAAATGTTTATTAGCATAAATAACCATGCCAAAGTAACTAAAAACATGATATTGCACACATATGTGTATATATGTCATATCAATACTAAATTATCTTTTCCATATATAAAATCACATTTCAAACACTTTTACACCATAGCATGATCAACCATCCACAAATCCTCCGAAGTTCCCCGACGTGAAACCATAGGCTCTTCTGAATCAACCACTTGTTGACTCGAGCTCACTTTTGATGGTAGAAACACTCGACCAAAGGTAATCTAACCTACCTACAAACTATGCTTTTCCTCTTCACATACTTGTGATAAAGGCATCATTGACTCCTAACCACACCCTTAACGGGCATTAGGGAGTTGCCAGACTGCTCGGATATCCCATGATAACAGTCTTATAAGATGCTGTATTGGATTACCCATGGTTACAGCTTGTAAAATGCTACACCAGATGTCCCATGGTGCCAACCTGACCATATGGATTTTTCACTCACAATTCTCCACACACACACAACCCCACATCCTTAGTGAACTCTCACCCTTATGATCATGTTTTTTCATAACTTTCACTACTTATACACTTTTCCACTACAGATATATATATATATATATATACTTCATGAAAATCAATAACTTTTCAAATTCAATTCACAATGCAAAGTTCATGCTAAAACTCATAGATTCATAATTTGACATTGGACATTCACTTCTATACAGTTATAATAGTTAATAAACATAATAAACTATATGGTTACCTTAACTCTTTTATTTATGAGAAAGGGTTACCCGTATAACTCCAACTTTATTCAAGCTCCTCTCTCATAATTCGTGCGTCACACACTAGAATCTACACAGAATTGGCATTCAGAGTCAATTCCTCTATTGACCAAAAGTGCTAATTATCGTAATTAAATAATTAATTGCTATCAAATCCATATTTCACACTTGATTATGAACATTACCAATGATCACCTCTCATTTCGAGCTTTAAGATTTTCTAGCAATTTTTCTCTCACTACTCTCTCTCTCTCTAGATTAGGGCAATTCTTGCTTAAAGCTTCAAAACTTTATCGTTTTGACTTTAACCAGTTACAAAGCACTAGTTTTACTCTAGAGATTCTTTTTCTTACTATTAGGTAAGAAATCAACTCCTTAAAACTCTCAAATTCACTTTTTCCTTAATTAAGACTAAGAAAATAGGATGGATTCAAAGGTTATGGCAGTACGTGACTTACCCAATAAGTAATGAGTTGAAAACACCATCCTTGCTCCTGATCTAGCTTGCCCTAACATAGCCTTGGCTCTTCTCTATTTCGGATCTCTCCTCCCATGTTTCTCCCTTTTATTTTTCGAGCTAGACACGTCCCTATTAAACTAATTTTTCCTTTATGCATTGCGGCGCATTTGTCACCCGCCACAGTGCCTAACACAGTGAGGAAAATCCTCACTATACTCACACACTTTGCTTCAAGACCCCGATCTTCTACACATATCTATTCATATAACATCCCAGTGAGTCAATATATCACTTCACTACTCAGAACTCTAATCCTTATATTAAATGCCTAATTTATCCCTAATTAATCATTAACACAGGATTAGAAATTCAGGATGTTACAATTCTCCCCTCCTTTTTAAGAATTTTTTCTCTAAAATTGAAATAACCACTAGTTTACCCTTACCTAAGGGAATAACTGAGGGTATAGTTGTCTCATCTTAACTTCTGTCTCCCAGGTCGCATCACTAGAAGTCATACTCTTTCAAAATACTTTCACTAGTCGAATAGTCTTATTTCTTAATTGCTTATCTTTCACATCTACTATGCACTCCAATTCTATCATATAGGTCATATTTTCTTGTAATTCTACTTCTTCAAGCTCAATTATATGAGAAGGATTTAGTTAGTACTTCTTAAGTTGAGACAAGTGGAACACATTATGAAGCCCAGATAACTATGGAGGTAATGCAATTTGATAAGCAACTTGCCTGATCCTCTCTAAGACTTTGAACGAACCCATAAATCTAGGATTCAATTTCTTAGCTCTAATTGATCTCCCAATTCCTATTATGAGTGTAACTTTTAGAAACACATGATCACTTATTAGAAACTCCAATGGTCTCCTTCTTCGATCAGTATAGCTCTTTTGCCTGCTTTGAGCTACCAATAACCTCTATCATATCAACTCAATCTTCTGAGTAGTTTGATCCATAATATATAGCCTTACTATGCTTCTTTCATTCAGTTCGATCCAACACAAAGGTGATCTATACTTTCTTCTATATAAAGCTTCATATGGAGCCATTTGAATGCTGGAATGATAACTATTATTGTATGCAAATTCAGCCAATGGCAAATAGCTATCTCAACTACCACGCAACTCTAACACACAAGATCGCATCATATCTTTTAGAGTCTGAATGGTTTGCTCTATTTGTCTATCAGTCTGAGGATGATAAGCAGTACTAAACTTTAAAGTAGTACCTATAACTCTTTGTAACGCTCTCCAGAACCTAGATGTAAATCTCGAATCTCGATTAGAGACTATTTCCTTCGGCACTCCATGTAAATGTACAACCTCTTGGATATAGGTCTCAGCCAACTTCTCTAAAGAATTACTGATCCTTATGGCTAAAAAGTGAGCTGATTTAGTCAATCGATCAACAATCACCCAAATAACATCATGTCCCGATTGAGTTCTGGGTAGTTTAGAGATGAAATCCATGGAAATGCTGTCCCTTTTCCACTTAGGTATTTCTAATGGCTATAGTGTCCCAGCCGACTTTTAATGTCCAATTTTCACTTTTTGGCAAGTCAAACATCAAGCTACAAACTCTGTCACCTCTCTTTGCATTCCTGACCACCACTAATAGCGCTTAATGTCTTGATACATCTTTGTAGCTCCTGGGTGAATAGTGTACTTGCTGCAGTGTGCTTCATTTAGAATCACCCTTCTCAAATCTTCATCACTAGGCACAGAAATTCTATCCTAATAAACTATGAATCCATCATCATTGAAGCTGAAATCTATAGCCAGATTTGACTCAACCTCTTCCTGAATCCTAAAAAGATACTCATCTTCTAACTACGCCATTCTCAATTCCTTTCAAAATTACTAGTAATCACAGTAGTATAAGCACCAACTAAAGCTTTCAACGGTGCATCCTATTGAGAATTAATGAAAGATTCCATTAAATCATGTTCTCAAATCATTAGACTGGCTATATGTAGCGTCTTTCTACTTAATACATCATCTACCACATTAGCTTTCCCCAGATGATATTTGAACTCAAAGTTATAGTCTTTAAGTAATTCCATCCATCTTCTTTGTCTCATATGCAATTCCTTTTAGTCTATTAGATACTTTAAACTCTTGTGGTCACTGAATACGCTAAACAATGACCCAAATAAATAATGACGCTAAATCTTCAGTGTGAAAACCACTACTGCTAGTTCTAAATCATGAGCCGGGTAGTTCTCTTCATGTAGCCTGAGTTGTCTTAATGCATATGCCATGACTCCTCCATCCTACATTAGTACACAACCTAAACCTCTTAGGGAAGCATCTATATACACCTCATATGGTAGTCTCAAATTCAAAATTATTAACATAGGGGCAATAGTTAGTCTCTCTTTCAGCTTCTAGAATGTAGTCTCACACCTATCATCCCCAATAAAAGGATGATCTTTTCGGGTCAATTTCATCAATGGGGAAGTAATCTGAGAGAAACCTTAGATAAACCTTCGATAATATCCAGCTAATCTCAAAAAAATTTAAATTTCCATAACTGAACTAGGCCATTTCCATTTCAACACAGCATCAACTTTATGAGGATCAATAGAAATCCCATCTGCTGATACCACATGACCCAAAAATCTAACTTCTCTTAGCTAAAACTCACACTTACTGAGCTTGGCATAGAGTTTGTTCTTCTTAAGAATCTGAAGGACAATCCAAAGATGTTTGGCATGTTGTTTCTCATCTTTCGAATAAACCAGAATGTCATTAATAAAAACCACAACAAACTGGTCTAAATATGATCTAAAGATACAGTTCATGTAATCTATGAAAATTGCAAGTGTATTGGTCAGACCAAATGGCATGACAAGGAACTCATAGTGCCCATAACGCGTATGAAAGGTTGTCTTAGTTACATCTTTCTTAGAAACCTTTAGCTGATGATACCCTGACCTCAAGTCAATCTTAGAAAAGACTAAGGCTCTAGCCAATTGATCTAACAAATCATCAATCCTGGGTAAAGGGTACTTATTCTTTACCGTCACCTTGTTCAATTGTCGGTAATCGATGCACAATCACAGACTACCATCCTTCTTTCTTACAAACAATACTGGCAAACCTAAGGTGACACACTTGGCCTGATGAATCTTTTGTCAAACCAATCCTTAATCTGCTTCTTCAATTCATTTAACTCTGAGGGTGATATCCAATACGGGGCTTTAGAAATTGGTTTTATACCAGGAACCAAATCTATTGAGAATTCAACTTCTCTTTCCAGAGGTAATCCTGACATCTCCTCAGAAAATACCTTGAGAAATTCACTTACCACTCCAATCTTTTCAATACCACCGTCATAGACACTGATAGCAACACAAACTACTATGTAGGCATCACACCCTTGCTTGATTAGCTTCTGAGCTTGCACAACTGATAGAAACCTAAGTTGCTCGATAGAACTAGTCCTTGTCAATGACAACGGTAAAGACACTAACTTCCTGGCACAGTCTAACATAGCATTATTAGTTGCTAGAAAATCCATGCCAACTATCACATCTATCCCTTTCATGAGAATGTAAATCAGATCGATCATAGGTACTCGATCCTCATATATAATCTCAACTCTCTAACATGCTTTGCTAGTAATACTTGAAAGTCCAGAAGGCATAGTCACTTTAACTATCATTGGTAACTCTTTTAGTGCTAACTTCAATCTATCTACACATTCTTTTAAAATGAACGAATGTGTATCTCTCAAATCAAATAAAGCTTCAATTCCATTACCATATAAAAAAATAATACCTTTGATTAAGTTCGGAGATGTTTTTACTTCTTCTTGCATCACAACAAATACTCATCCTGGAATCATAGTAAGTGCTTTGCCATCTTAACTCTACCTTTAAAATAATATTTGGCAATATGACTCGGCTTCCCACACTTCAAGTAGGACCAATATTTTTTGGCATGGAATTTAACATAAACACTACGCTAGAGTGACCTTCCAATGCTAAAAGTAGGAGCTGGTATGTTCGAGGCTTGCCTTGAAGGTTGTTGAGGCCTAATTCTGACCCCAATACTCTTTTGTATAGATCCTCTCTAAATTGATCGAATCTGAGAACTTCTACCAGAGCTCCTATTCCCGCAAGCTCATGAATTGCTTGACTTATACACAGGCTTCTTCAATACGTTGCCTGATGGACCCAAAGGTGTAAATCTTCCCACACTATCTTTCTTCTTCTCAGCCTCTACTTTTCTACCTCTCTTCACAGCTGTTCTCAACTTATAACACATGTCCTCATAAGTAGTGATGTTGAATAAAGCAATTTGCTGCCTATACTCTGGACGTATCTTCTCTAGAAATCATTTTGCCTTCCACCTAGTGTCATTATGGTGCTGCAAATAGGTAGAATAGGCTGATAAATCATTGAATTTCTTTATGAATTCCTCTTCATCCAAGTTTTCATGCCTGAACGCATGGAACTCTTTCTCTTTCTCAATGTGAAAAGATACTAGGAAATAATAGTTGAAGAATACCTTCTTGAATTCTTCCCAAGAATACCTCACACTACCAGTCAGCCTCACTGAATCCCACTATTTCTTAGCTGCTCTGACTAGCTGGACCGTAGCTAAGGTCACTTTCTACTCTGAACTGCAGGTCACCACCTTGAATATTGTTTCAAGGCACTCAATCCACTGCTCGACTTCTCCTTCTCTCATATACTAGTACAAAAATGACTTTTTACAATGATTAAAGAGGCGATGTTGTTCTAGGGGGTGTATGATAGAACACATTTGTTACCCACTTTTATTTGTCAATTAGGACCATTTTATTAATTATTTATCACCTTCAAGTGCACACATTGCATTAGATTTAGAACTTTGCCTAAGTTTCTAAGATCAGTGCACTAGGGGCATTTTGGTCTAAAAAATGAACTTTTGAGAAAATGTACAAGAAAAATTGACAAAGTGCATTTTATGTCCAGTTGATGAATGGTGAAATTATATTTTTAAAATTCATTTTAGTTTGGGAGTAATTAAATAAAAAAGTCAACACTTTCTTAAGTGTCTTAGTTTGTCCTAGTTTTTGGTTTGCCTTTGTGTGAAAATTTTTATATAATTTTGTGCAGCCCGAAACTTGGTTAATTTAATAAATTCTCCCTTCTAAATATGAATTTAATTCTGGACATGAATTAGATTTTATTATATCATATGCTATTTAATTGAATTATGTGATTTATGTGACATAGGTGGCATGTGACTTGTGCATCAATTGGGCAATTGAGGTCAACACTCCTTGAGGTCAATGGCTGATGGTTTGCACGTGAATTATGATTATTTTGAGAGGTTAAATCAGCTAAAATGATGTGGATGACACATGGGAAATTAGGCACACATTGGAATCATCTACAAACCAATAGGAAGTTGCCACCTTGCAAGTGTGACAAGGCTCCCATTTACATTTTAATTTCTTTTTCCTTATTTTAATTAAGCTTCAGCTGATGGGAGACACCAAGGAGCACGCCATTTTAAGCCTCAAATGGGATCCAACACATATCTCATTCATCTTCCACATTCTCTCTCTCTTGTTCATAGTGTTCTTCATTTTCTCTCTTTTGTTCTTCATTTTCCAGCACCCTAACCTCCATTTTCAGCCACCAAACCTCCACAAAACTCATACCATTCTTCTCCTCTCTTCATTTTCGTTCCATCCCTTCCATTTTCACAAGGATTGAAGCTCATTTTCATCATTCAAGAGCTATGGAGTTTGGCCTTCACAAGCAATCACTAGGGTTCTTGAAGATGAAGATTGGCTAAGTTTCTTTGTGGAATCCTAGAGAGATGAAGATGGAGGATGAGTCTTGAGCTTCAAATTGGCTAAGTTCTTTTATTTCCTATCCTCTTCTCTTTTTACTAGATGGTTAGATTCCTTAATCTAGGGTTTAATCATCTTAGCTTATAAATTCTAATTTGAATTTGATGTTGATGTAAAGAGAGAAGATTGTTTCATTTAATTTCTTCCTTGGACAGCCATGACTGAATTTTGCCACTCTTTGTTTGGCACATAATCTTGTGTTTTTCAATTAGTGAATTTCTTGTGTTAATATTGCATAATCTTGTGGTGTTAATGCTTGTGTTGTTGAGTAGCTTGACATAATCTTGTGGTTGCTCAATTTATGTGTTTGACCATGGCTGTTGAGAGAGGATTTTGAATGAATCACTTGGCTAATATCTTCACCAATTGGTTAATTAAACTAGGGACTTTAATCTAAGACCTAGGGAGGTTAGCTAATTAGGTTAATTGGCTTTGGATAATTTTCTTAAGTCATGACAGCTTTAGTCAAGAGGAAAGGGAAGCTAAACTTAGCCTAATCATGAGAAGATAATGAATCCAAAATCAACTAATCTCTAGGGTTCCATTATTGCGAAAAGGGAAGTTCATTTCACTCACTTTCACTAGCATTTTAATTACTTGCATATTAGGTAATTAGTTTAGATAATTAGCTAGATAACTAAATTCCTACAAACTTTGGTTGATTTATTTCACTAGATAACTTTCAATTAGACTTAAAACCATTCCTTGGGAGATGACCTAGGGTTGGCCCTATATTGCATTAGGGTTAGCTTTAGTGTAATTTTGAGGATAAGCGACTAATTTCCTATCAAAATTTTGGCGCCGTTGCCGGGGAATGGTTTAAGTTTAATTCTAAGGTTGTTTAGTACCTAATTTACATTTTTAGTGTTCCTGGAAAATTTTTTGAAAAATTATAAAAATTTGTGTTTTGCATTTTGTTTAGTGTTTTTTGTGTGTTTTGAGTGTTTTTATTCTGTTTTGAAAAAAAAAAATTAGTGCAATTTTCGTTGGTTTGGTGTAGAGCTGAAAATACTCTGTTTCTAGTGTCTCTGTCTGAAATTGAAAAATTAACTGGGAATGAGTCTGAGGGAATTTGAACTTGAAATTTATTTCATTAAAAGCTCTATATCTTAGCTTCACTTTAAAATTGGTTTGGTCAATTTTGGACGTGGGAAGTGTCCTGTGGAAATTTTACAATCTAACAAGGTCCAGGGAGCCATTACAGAGGATTCCCAAAACCCTGTTTCAACTTTGAGTTAGCATATCTTCCTCTTTGTGCGTTCAAATTGATTAATTTGAGTTTCATTTTTCTTATCACTGTCTTATATTTGTTTCTTGTGTTTAGGATTTTCTTCAATTTTTCCATTTTCCTATTTGAAAGTTTGTTAGAAGCTCTGAAGGTCTTCTGGACGAAATCCTGTTTCTCCAGACCTGTGGACCAACTTGTGAAAAATTCTGGGAACGATTGGGAGGGATTTGTAATCTGAAAGTTTTATATAATTTTTCTGAATATCTCTTGTGTATCTCATAAAAGTTTCAGGTGAATTTCTCATATGGATTGGCTGCTAAAAAATCCACAAGTTCACTATCTCCAGAAAGCCTATTGTGCAAATTCTAGAATTGTCAAAGCTTCTTGATTGAGCATTTCTAACTCTCTTTCTACTTGTTTGGTGTTGTTTTTGATTTTTTTTTATTTTTATTGTTTTTAATTCTAATAGAAAAAAAAATTCTCTTGATTTTTGTTTGCTTGCATTTCCACTCATACACTTGCAAAGGGCATATCATTTGAGCTTCCTTGGTCTTTCCATCATTTTGAGCTTGAATTTGAATCATTGCTTGTGGATATAAATTTCATTGCATTTTATGGCTTGGTTTCATGATCATGATTCATTCCATCATTCATTTGACATCCATTCCCATCCATTTCCAGCGCTTAACATTGACCATACATCCCATTTCCATAATCAATTTCAACAATATAACTTTGATTATCCACCCCCATATCATGATCATTTCCATCCAAGTCACAATTATGAATTTTTCAATCCCATGATTTTTGAATCCAATCTAAGCACTCATGTTGAGCGTACACATCCATTGACATTGAGCATCTAGAAAAATTATATGCACAAAGGGGTAAATTTTATTGTGTGCATTGTGAGGCTATCTCCCACTTCTATTATGATTGTCCTATTCTAAAAGGATATTGTGAACCACATGGAGTAGCCCAAGCCTCACAAGAGAGAAATTACATGTTTCAAGTTGAAGACACACAAAAAGTTGCTCATGAAGCTATTGAGAATATAAATACACCTCAAGCCACTCAATCTCCAAAAGAGAAGGAGTCAATCCAACCCTTACTTCAAGAGGTAATTTCTCCTATTCCTATTGAGGTTGATTCTTCTTCACATTTGACTTTATCTAATGATGAGCATAATGATTTAAATGATGATGACATAGATGAAGAAATTATAGTTGAATCACCTTGGATGTTTGAGCATGAATCATATTGTGAAAAAGTATACCCTTGGGAGAAAAACACTTTGAGTTCACATGATAATTCTCTTGATTTAAATTCAAATATCATTGAAAGTGTTGACTCTTCACTTAGCTTGAATAAACAAAATGAAATGGATGTTGATGGTGGCGATGATGTATCTTGTATGCTTGAAATTCCAATTCCTTCTTGTGATATTGTTAATAGTGCACATGCACTTGTTTCTTCTAACCATGATGTGCTT